GCCCATGATGAGATCTGTAAGCCGTAGCTGCCACAGCTAGTCAGAAGATGCACCATGGCCAAACCGGGATCCGACCGAGATGAAGCCATGGTGGAGAAGACAGCGGGGAAGAAGGTGAGAGCCAGATAAAATTCTTCAAAATAATACTAGGGGTGTGCAATGTTTTTATATCTGTAATATCTATCTATCTATCTATCTATCTATCTATCTATCTATCTATCTATCTATCTATCTATCTATCTATCTGTCTGTCTGTCTGTCTGTCTGTCTGTCTGTCTGTCTGTCTGTCTGTCTGTCTGTCTGTCTGTCTGTCTGTCTGTCTGTCTGTCTGTCTGTCTGTCTGTCTGTCTGTCTGTCTGTCTGTCTATATATATATATATATATATATATATATATATATATATATATATATATATATATATATATATATATATATATATATATATATATCGTTCTATCGTTCTATTTATCTAGCATTCTATCGTTATCTATCTATCTATCTATCTATCTATCTATCGTTCTATCTATCTATCTATCTATCTATCGTTCTATCGTTCTATCGTTCTATCTATCTAGCATTCTATCGTTATCTATCTATCTATCTATCTATCTATCTATCTATCTATCTATCTATCTATCTATCTATCTATCTATCTATCTATCTATCTATCTATCTATCTATCTATCTAGTATTCTATCGTTATCTATCTATCTATCTATCTATCTATCTATCTATCTATCTATCTATCTATCTATCTATCTATCTATCTATCTATCTATCTATCTATCTATCTATCTATCTATCGTTCTATCGTTCTATCGTTCTATCTATCTAGCATTCTATCGTTATCTATCTATCTATCTATCTATCTATCTATCTATCTATCTATCTATCTATCTATCTATCTATCTATCGTTCTATCGTTCTATCTATCTAGCATTCTATCGTTATCTATCTATCTATCTATCTATCTATCTATCTATCTATCTATCTATCTATCTATCTATCTATCTATCGTTCTATCGTTCTATCGTTCTATCTATCTAGCATTCTATCGTTATCTATCTATCTATCTATCTATCTATCTATCTATCTATCTATCTATCTATCTATCTATCTATCTATCTATCTATCTATCTATCTATCTATCTATCTATCTATCTATCTATCTATCTATCTATCTATCTATCTATCTATCTATCGTTCTATCGTTCTATCTATCTAGCATTCTATCGTTATCTATCTATCTATCTATCTATCTATCTATCTATCTATCTATCTATCTATCTATCTATCTATCTATCTATCTATCTATCTATCTATCGTTCTATCGTTCTATCGTTCTATCGTTCTATCTATCTAGCATTCTATCTGTCTATCTATCTATCGTTCTATCTATCGTTCTATCGTTCTATCTATCTATCTATCTATCTGTCTATCTGTCTATCTGTCTATCTATCTATCTATCTATCTATCTATCTATCTATCTATCTATCTATCTATCTATCTATCTATCTATCTATCTATCTATCCGTCTATCTGTCTATCTGTCTGTCTGTCTGTCTATCTATCGTTCTATCTATCGTTCCGTCTGTTTGTCTGTCTTTTGAACACTCCTTTTAGTTACAGTACTTGTATTATAGCAATTACATGCAAATGTCAACCTTGCCATGAAAAAAAATCACTGTACTGTACAAATACTCAAAAATAGTCAATAGCTGCATTTCCACTGTCAGGCCAGTGTGAGTCTTTTATTAGGTCGGGCCAATCGCCCGGGAAGTTGAGCAGTGAGGCCGAAATCATGTCATGTTATGTATGATACGAAAGTGAAAGCATGCTGAAATATTATAGAGAGCTGTTTATCTGTTATCAATTGACAGATATTACCATCTGATAGTTTTTCCATATTTTAATCTTATAATATTTTGTATTAGGCATATTGTTTTGTTCATTTCTGCACTGACAGCTCGAAAGAAAGATCAACATTGATCTGCTTCATTATCTGACTGCAGGCTCGCTTCACCTGTTATTTCTCTCTATAATTTAAGCCTATAATGCAAAAAAATCTGGCCAACGTTTTTTTTTTTTTTTTTAAAGATTATTAAATGTATCAGTTTTAAAAAAAAGCTTCTCCTGCTCACCATGACTGCATTTGTTTCATCAAAAATTCAGCACAAATTGTAAACTATTAATATAGTTGCACTATAAAATAACTGTTCAAAAGTAGTTTACAATTTAATTTAATTATTTATTTCTGTGATTTTTAAAGATTAGTTTTCAGCTTCATTACTCCAGTCTTTAGTGACATGATCCTTCAGAAATCAGTCTAATATTAATTATTATTATTATTATTATTATTATTATTATTAAGTAATAATTTAATTTGAAACTTCAAACAATAAGAAAGCAGCTATTTAAAATGGTAATAAATAATTAACAATTTTATCTTTTTTACTTTTAATAAATGTCACCTTGATGAACAGAATCATTTTCTTAAAAAAAAAAAAAAAAAAAAAACATTAAAAAAATTTACAAAACTGACCCCAAACTTTTGACCGGTAGCGTGTAATATATATATATATATATATATATATATATATATATATATATATATATATATATATATATATATATATATATATATAAACAGTGAAAAACTTTGGCAGGACAAGTAAAAATCTGAACCACTGGCCCGATTGGGCCTGTAGAAAAAATCCTTAGCGTTGAACCCTGAATATAATCCAATATAATTTTAGTAAACTTAATAGCACAAAAATATTGCAACGCTTTTAAATTGAAATTGAAATTGAATTTTAAAATGGAAAACTTCAGTACAAACACGTTGTGCACATTTAAATGATCTGAGATATATCAATCATAATAAGCAATTCCAGCGTTATGGATGTGACATTTGCAGTAAAAACTCAAAACTTAAATTCACAGATATTAGTGATTCTTTTGTGTACAATTTTTTTTTGAATAAAATGTGTGTCCAATTCTTCCTGTCTCTCTCAGAGTAAAGAGAAAATCTCTCCGTTTGCTAAAACTCCGAAGCTGGATCGGAGTGAACTCTTGGGGAAAGAGGGGAAGTCGAAATCCTCCATGAAGCGGAAACTCTCCTTCACTGTCAGTCCATCCCGAAACGAGGAGCGCGACTCGGATGCAGGTCAGTTTCACACTCTCTAAAGGGTTTGTTTTTAATGTAATCTCTGTATGTACTCACTGAATGTTCTGGTAGCTCGTGTTCGTGCCTCACTGACGCCCCCTAGTGATCACTTTTTTATTGCACACACTGTACTGTTGAAGGGTTTTCGAGAGGGTTATATAACGGTTAGGCTAAACTTGCTTAATTCACGAGTCCACCTCGAAAATGCAGGAAAAATACAGTATGAGGGAGTGGTGAATGTTTATCTTTTTATTATTATATTTAAATGACTTAATTTAGTTGACTAATTTAAATGCAAATACTTTAATACTGGTGATTCACACAGTATAAGAATACATTCATTATATTATACAATACATACAATTATTATAGTAATGAAAGTAATTTTTTGTTTCATGTGAATGCAAATACTCTAATACTGTTGATAATATAATAATATATTTGGCATAATAATTTAAAAATATAATATAAATAATAGTAATATAAACAAATAATATAGGGAATGATGAAATTATTTCCATTTTTATATTTAAATGTATAATATAATATAATATAATATAATATAATATAATATAATATGTTTCACAAACAAGCTTTAAGGCTAGTTAAGATTAAATTGCATGTTTGAGCTGTCTCAACTCTAAATAACTTGCAGTGAGATGTCTTAAAATATGTCAGTGTCTTTTTTTGTCTCCAGGTGCACTCCAGTAATATTTTTTTCTAAGGCCATTTTTATAAATGTGGCTTAAATAGCTATTAAATAGCCATTTAACTAAGCCTTAGTCCTGGCTTAATCTAAGCCCTGTTTGTAAAACTGAGCCATAATATAACATAACATGACATAACATAACATAAAATAACATAACAACATCATATAGGGCAACACGGTGGCGCATTGGGTAGCACGTTTGCCTCACAGTAGGAAGGTCGCTGGTTCGAGCCTCGGCTGGGCCAGTTGGCATTTCTGTGTGGAGTTTGCATGTGCTCCCCATGTTCGCGTGGGTTTCCTCCAGGTGTCCCACAAGTCCAAAGACATGCACTATAGGTGAATTGAGTAAGCTAAAATATACCGTAGTGAATGAGTGTGGGTGTTTCCCAGTGATGGGTTGTGGCTGGAAGGGCATCTGCTACATAAAACATATGCTGGATAAGTTGGCGGTTCAAAGGGACTAAGCCGAAAGAAAAGGAATTAATTAATATAATATAATATAATATAATATAATATAATATAATATGATATAATACATGTAAATGCAAATACTCTAATACTGTTGATAATATAAGAATATATTTAACATATAAAAAAAATATATGTATTAGGGGAATGATGAAAGAAATATATTTTCATTATTATACTTAAAATTACTTGTTTTGGTTGCTTTATTTGAACACAAATTCTCTAATATTGTTGATAATATAAGAAAATATTTAACATAATTATACAAATGTAATATAGGGAGTGATGAAAGAAGAGTTTCATCATTTTTCCTAAAATGTCTTGTTTTGATTGATGGTTTATGTGAATGCAGATTCTTTGAGACAAGAATATAGTATTTAAAATTATATATATATATATATATATATATATATATATATATATATATATATATATATATATATATATATATATATATATATGTGTGTGTTTGTGTGTGTGTGTGTGTGTGTGTGTGTGTGTGTGTATTTATATACATACATACAGAGAGAGTGTGTGTGGAGTTATGAACATGATCTTTTCATAATTTTACTAAAAATCTCTTGTTTTAGTTGTTGTTAGTTGTGCTTGTTTCAAGTTCTCAATATATGAAAACACATCTATGGAGTTATGACAATTATATTTTCATTATTTTACCTAAAATCTATTGTTTTTAGTATTGATAGTTGTTGGTAATAATTGTAAAATACATGTACAATATATACACTACCTGACAAAAGTCTTGTCGTCGATCCCAGTTGTAAGGCAAGGCAAGTTTATTTATGTAGTACATTACACACACAGTGGCAATTCAAGCAACAATTAACTTGACTCTAGTTGATCATTTGTAAAACTGGCAGAAGGTAGATTTCTCTGATGAATCATCTGTTGAACTGCATCCCAATCATCACAAATACTGCAGAAGACCTACTGGAACCTGCATGGACCCACAATTCTCACAGAAGTTCATTTATTTTTTTGCCTGTTGACTTCTATAGGATTATATTTATCTGTAGCTTTTCATTATTATTATTATTGGTAATATTTATTTTTATTTTTAATTTTCTTCCAATCTGTAGCTGTTCATTATTATTAATATTAGTAGTAGTAGTAGTAGTAGTAGTAGTAGTAGTATTACTGGTATTATTATTATTATTATTATTATTATTACTACTACTACTACTATTATTATTACTATTATTACTGTTATTATTATTATTATTATTACTACTACTACTATTACTACTATTACTGTTATTATTATTATTATTACTACCATTATTTATTTTTATTTTTAATTTTTTCCTATCTGTAGCTTTTCATTATTAATATTATTATTACTATTATTGTAATTACTATCACAATTTTTTTTCCAATCTATAGCTTTTTATTATTATTATTTATAACTATTATTATTATTATTATTCATTTTTATTTTTTTCAATCTGTAGCTTTTTGTTTATTTTTTTTGTTATTATTATTATTGTTATTAACATTTTATTTTATTTTTTTTCCAATCTGAAGCTTTTCCTTATTAATATTATTTTTTATATGATTATTATTATTATTAATATTACTATTATTAGTATTATTTATTTTAATTTTTTACTTTTCCAATCTGTAGCTTTTCGTCGTTGTTGTTGTTGTTGTTGTTATTATGATAATTACTATTATTATTTTTTTTCAATCTGTAGCTTTTCATTATTATTATTATTATTATTATTATCATTCATTTTGGACTTATAGAATTTTATCTACTTTTTATATATTGATATAGGAAAATTTTCAATTATGACAGTTAGTTTAGTTACAAACAAATACTGTAGTGTTTCATTTTTATTTATTTAATCATTTATTTATTGACCTATCTGATTATGTGGTCAGTCATATTTTATAATTTTATTTTTGTGGTCCCATTATTTGAATCGAATTCTCAGTGACTCTTGAATATTCATCCCGGAGTCTTTGAATTCTGTGCTGTGATTTGTGGTTTGAGTGAGGGGGGCGGGGCCTGTGGGTGCAATCAGTGCTCTGCTCTCCTCTCGAACCCTGAACCTCTGTCCTCCTGCGCTCTCTGCTTCTGCCCTGTAGATGACTCTGACCCGGGGCAGTCGAGCGATGCGTGGGGAGAGAGATTACTTCCTCCCTGCAGGATATACGCAGGTAAAGGCTAGTCCGAGATGCCTCACGCTCCCGCTCTGTCTTCAGTTCTTTCTCTAAGGCTACGTTTACACTAGTGCATTTTTATTTTTAACATACACACTCAAAAGAATGAAACTGTTTGCTGTTTGTTCAAAGTACTTATTTAAATTCAAGCTGAAACAATACAGTTCTTGAGGTTTTCTTTTTTAAGTGTCAACTTATGTTCGATCCAATTTATAAAAACTATTATGTTAACTTAATTCCTTCATGTTATCCCAACAAAAATAAATTGTTTAGAGCCCAGCAATTTTTGGTGCAGTGTTCAGCATAAATGAGAACACCCCCTTTTTAAAAAATTATTTTCCCATCCATTTCCTTTTGCATTTAAAGGCCCGTGAAATTAAAATAATGTTTTTCAGATGTTAGTTTAAGTCTGCTAGTTTTAAGGATATCTATAAGCTAGTATTCTCCAAAATTCGCCTTTAGAAAACTGATATAAGCATGTAAAGCTTGGAGTTTGTCACTTCAGCCTACATGGATTTTTTTACATCACCTCATACTTCAGTTTCTAATAAAATCTTCTGACCAATCAAATGCTTGTGTCTAACATGCCCCGCCCCTTCAAGACACCACTGAAACAAAACACTATTGGCTCTTTTTTTTTAAAGGGGAGGAGCTAAACTATGTCCAAAGTCCCTTTAAGGTGAGCCATTTCATGCGGCGGCCGTCTTGGAAATGCCTCTCAGGCAGTTTGCTTGAGTATTCTGTCTGAATGGGGAAACCTCAAATTCTCCAAAATGATTTGCCAAGCTTATGGTTGCATTACATATTTGCGATCACCAATAAAATTAAACAACAGCCGTCTCAAAAGTTACATTTCTTAAAATCTGAATCAAACAAAATCAGCATATTTTTAGGTTGCCCGAGCTAATGCGCACTCGAAAGGAGCAAAATCACGACACCAACCTGATTATGGCAGATTATGATCGTCAGATCGCGCTGCTCTTCTGAAGAAATTCACAACTTGGTCTTGATGGTGAATGTCCTCAGAAATGACAGCGACTCTTTGTTTACAAGTTTGTGGGCGTTTGAGTAGTTGCTGTCACGTGATGTCTGTTTGACAGGGCGGACTGTACCTCATGTTCGTTTCCATACAGATTACAAAACAAAAACACTGTTTTTCAAGTGCACTTGGTTCATTTAAAAGCACCAATTTCAAGCTTTATGTCGACACATTTCTTATGTATTTGAAGCAAGTATTTACTGAGATTCCAGTGTGTTTGTTGACCACCAAAGTGTCGTAAAGGCACACGTCTGGTCCGAGCTTTATTCCCGGAGAAACGTCAGTCTAAACCGATGGATGATTGGCTTTTGTACTAGTAGGCGGAGCTTCATTCGCCATATTGATCGTTACACTATTTCCCATTTAAAACTATACAAGTGACATGTTATGTGTATCCAGAAGTAATTGCTAGTTGAGATTATGCAAAGTCCCTTTAAGGCAAGTCATTTCACTCAGCAGCAGGGCCGGCGCGTCCGTAGAGGCGACCTAGGGCGGCAGAATAGAAAGGGCGCTGTCTGTGACACTACTGGTCTAATGGACACACAGTGAGTGAGTGAGTGAGTGAGAGAGAGAGAGTACTTCATTCTCTCAATCAAAGTAAAATAGGCGCTTCTGCTGTAAGTGTCAATGAAAGACTGATCCAGTAAACACACACACACAGTAAAATTGTGCACATCTTGTGAATTTTTAAGTGGCTGAAGCGTTTGCGCTTGCCTCCCTCGCCATAGTAAGCTACCACGACATAGTGCATATGAGGTAAAAGCCGTCAGTGCATAATAACTGCTTATGATTATTACTGAACCAATACTGAATTGTCCGCGTCTGCATCGCAGTGCATCGAAGAAACAGTTAATTTTGACATCCCTAATTTAACCTCTTCCCAACAGGGCAAAACATAAACAATCAAGAATGCGTGTTTATACTGTCATGGCTTTGCTGTCAAAGAATGTCATTACAACAGAAGTCAATGGGTTAAAAACAGCCACCAAAATAACCAGAGTCGTCAATGTGAACAGTGCACAGGGGACACAAAAATAAAAACATTGTCCAGGGTGGATGGAGAGTCTTTCCGAAACATAACAAAACTGTGAACAAATACATGTTGTTTTAATTATAAAATGCAGTGTTGGATTGAAAACGCACTGGTATAAACGTAGCCTGAATCTGTCTGCTCCTGATCCTCCGTCCGTGGCCTGAAAGCAGTCTAGTTTTCATAAGCCGCATGACCTTGTCTGTCTGCAAGCCTTTATTTTTCTTCCTCACATCACTCTGAGAGACGCTGGATGATCGGTTGCATCATTCTGATGTACAGAGACGTCTCGCGTATTCGCTTTTTATGATAAAAAGCGCTCCGTTTTTAAAGAAGCGCACACACACTGACACTCTCTGGGTGTTTCTGCTGCATCTGTTTTAATCGCATGCCTCTCACAGAGACTCATGGCAGCGCTGTTAGATGGGTAATGCATGTGTCCGTTAGGCTGGAAAACTTTCCTAAAGGGCATAACTTGCATCAGATGTTGACGTTTTTCTAAATGTTAATGCAACGCTCATCATTTTTTTGTTGTTGTTGTTTGCTGCAGACAAAGATGGACCGGATAAGAAGAAGGTTAAGAAGGAGTCGGGGGGTAAGAAGTCGACACCAGTGAATATTTTGTTCGGGTACCCTTTATCAGAACGAAAGCAGATGGCACTTGTCATGCAGATGACGGCGAGAGACAACAGTCCAGGTAGGAAAACACTACATGAAGTTTATAAACCCTTTTCGAGAGGATCATGTGCTTATGATTGCTTGCAGCTGCCGCATATTATCCAATGTATTATTCACCAATCAGACGATTCCTAGTGCCCTAGATTTCATACCACAGTCATCTTTGTTTTGAAGAATCCCCCCTTCCACCCCTACTCCTCTTCCTTTTCTAGATGGGTGGCACGGTGCCCCAGTGGTTAGCACCGTTGCCTCACAGCAACACAGCAAGTCTTTGGTTCTGGTCATTGGCAAAACCAACCAACGTTTCTGTGCGAAGTTTGCACGTTCTCCCTGTGCTCCAACTTAAGTTAATTGACTAATCTAAATCTGCACCATAGACATGCACTTAGCACTTATCTATCTTCTAAGAGCAATCTCTATCTGTTCATTAGCTTCTACAGCAGGTCTACCTGAGCTCAAACTCCCCATTCACCTTAAAACGGGAAGAAGCCCTTAGCTCGAGGAGCTTTTGAGCTCAGGGCTCTCTCCCGGGACGGCATGCCAAGCAAGCATTATAATCAATCATCAGCTCAGTGTGAACTCTTGAATTGTAACACTTATTGCACAGTTGTACTCTGAGCAACAAGTCATCTCTGATGTTTTCTGGAGCATATTTCTTTTCTTTTGTTCTTGTTAGAAGCCAATATTTAGTCCAAAAAAGATGCATTTTCAGTATTAAACAGTCTCTGGGTCATTGCGTGTAAGGAATTTGGACATCTTCTTGGAAACTTTCAATGCTGCCGTCATTTGCGATCTCCAGCAGTTGATCTTCTTGCACAGACATGCTGGATTCACCTGATTTGTTGACAAATGGGTTGTGGATCAATTCCTTGGCAGCTTGTGTGTTTTTTTACTGGGCCTTTTCCCTTTAGCAAAGAAACTTTCCAAAGACGTCTGTTTCTTACTGATTTTGCTACTTGTGGGTTGAATTTGGCCACTCAAGTGACTGAGATGTAACAGAGGAATACAGTCATTTTTCAAAATAAAAGATTTTTCAGAATAAAAGATCATACAGACTCATCATAGTAAATAAGCCTGGTGTTTGAGGACCACTACTTTGCACCACTGCAAAAGATACACTATGGGCCTACTCACACTATCCACCATCCGTACCGTGCCCAGGCCCGTTTCCCGGATCATTTGAGAAGTGTGAGTGCGCTGAATCGGGCTCAAGCATGGTTCACTTGGCCGGCCCTGGCCCGGTTGGAAGAGGTGTGCCTGAGCGCAGTTCACTTGGGCTTTGGCGCGGTACGCTTGTGTGTGAGTGCAAAACGCGCCTAAGCCCGAAACTGAAAGCGAGACGTGACTTTTAAGGGACTGTTTCATATGGATTTATTAATAATTCTTACTGTTTAGTGAACGCAAACTGCCGTAGTTTATTACAGACGAAAACCCCTCACTGCACGACAGCTACACCTTCAGCAGACCTCCTCATTCCTGCAGCACGAGAGCTTTATGATTGTTTATGAGCGCCAAAAGTGGCGGATCTGTACGGCGAAATATCTGACTGCGTGTCAACGCATCCCTAAGGACTGTTTGGCGAAATATTTGACGGCATATCAAACGACTGAAACGATATAACTAGAGAAATCTCCACTGCGCTGCTGAGTGAGAGAGAGCGCTTCTCGCTGAACAGCGCAGCAGCGATGACGTAAGCGTGCTGAGGCCTGTTTGTGGTGTGAGCGCGGGCCGTCGGGGGAGACAGGAGGGGGGTCAAGCGTGCTTTGGCCCGGTTCGAGGCAACTGTACCTAGTGTGAGTACGGCCTAAGGCCCAATCCCAAGTCTATTTTTGTACCCCTACCCCTTGACCGTTACAACCGCGGGTTTAGGGGAAGGGCTTCAAAATTTACCCCTAAGAATTGTGACAGCACTACAGCACCTGCTCACGTCATCATATGTCCTCGCGATCTTATGCTTCTCCTGTGAAATCAGACGATGGCGACTGCTGTAGTGATTCCATTTGTGTTATTTTTTTGGTATCTATCTTCAGGAGATCACTGAAGGCATATATTATGTTCTCATAACAATCTAATGCGGCAATAATATCGTATCAGTACTGTGCATTTACACAGTGGCCATATTCATCAATGTAAACACACCAAAAACAACATTAACATTATTCCAGACACTGTAAAAAGCCCATTGACAGCCACTAGACATTACTGATAGGGTATTCCAGTGTCAGAATGCTGTGGGACTGCTGTATAGGATTATAGATTATAGATGGGGATTATAGATCGCGAAATGAAGCAGGTTTTTTTTTAAAGCATGACTGTAAAACACGAATGCAGTTATGAATATATTAAAACGTGTTTGTTTGTTGTAAAAATTCGTAATAATGACAAAAAATACGAATTTTTTGATCTCCTTACTTCCGGGTTCAGCAATACTGCCACTGTGGCTGGTGCATTCTGGGAAATGTTCTTACCCCTTGGTTTCAAGTGTGGTCCTGAAAAATCTATGATTCACCCCTTCCCCTTAGCCCTACGCCTACAAGCTAATGATAATTGGGACACCCCTACCTCTTGGCGTGCACGCGCAAAACGAGGGGTAGGAGTAAGGGGAAGGGCTAAGGGGTAGAATTGGGATTGGGCCTAAATGACTTCGTATTGTTTCCATGTCACTTTCCGTGTTTGTTTGGTTGTGAGACGCTGTTTGTGGATCAAGACGAAGTTGTCTGTGATTCCTCCTATTGTAAAGCCACTCCTAGTGTGAAAACCACTGTTGCCAATCCATCTTGCAGTGTAAAAACAGCAATGATGCAATGCTACCCCAGATACTCATGCAGTGTGAATGCATCTGACGACTTTAAAAATCGTGCAGTCTGAACTCGGCATAATGTGCACCTTTACAGCTGCTTTGGAACAATAAATATTGTGAAAGGCACTATACAAATCACTTGACTTAAACCGAATAGTCTTGTCAGTTCAAATAAATCCTATAACCTTCACTTTCTGGTTGATCTCAGATACCACACCGAACCACCCGTCTCAATCTCCGGCGGTGCAGAAGAAGATCGCCAGCAGCTCAACCTCACGACAAAAAGACAAAGTGAACAAACGCAACGAGAGAGGAGAGACGCCTCTGCATATGGCCGCCATCAGAGGAGACGTCAAACAAGTGAAGGAGCTCATCGGCCTCGGAGCGGATGTAAACGTCAAAGACTTTGCAGGTGAGTTATGTAGATTTATAAGAGTGCATCCCATGTTGATTATCTGCATTTTTCTGATTGAAATTACTGGGTTTTAAATGATGATTTAAATGAACTTCTATTTTTTGATTGAAGCAAATCATTTAAAATTATATGTTGTGCTGCAAATCAACCATATACAGTTGAAGTCAAAATGATTCGCCCCTCTGTGAGTTTGTTTTTCTTTTGCAAATATTTCTCAAATAATGTTTAACAGAGCAGGGGATTTTTCACAATATTTTCTAGATTTTTTTCTTTTTCCTATATTTGTTTATTTTTGCTAGAATTAAAGCACTTTTTATATTTTTACAAAAAACTTTTTTTTTTTAAAGAAACTACATAGGATTTTCCCCAATATATCTTCTATCCTTTCAGATGTTCTTGTTGTACACTTACCAGCTCAATATACACTACCTGACAAAAGTCTTGTCATCAATCCTTGTTGTAAGAGCAACAAATAATAACTTGACTTCTAATTTATCATGTGGAAAAGTGTCAGAAGGTGGATTTTTCTGATGAATCGTCTGTTGAGCTGCATCCCAATCATCACTAATACTGCAGAAGACCTACTGAACCTGCATGGACCCAAGATTCTCACGTAAATCAGTCAAGTGTGGTGAAGGAAAAATCATGGTTTGGGGTTACATTCAGTATGGGGGTGTGCGAGAGATCTGCAGAGTGGATGGCAAAATCAACAGCCTGAGGTATCAAGACATTTGTGCTGCCCATTACATTACAAACCACAGGAGAGGGACAATTCTCCAGCAGGATAGTGCTCCTTCTCATACTTCAGCCTCCACATCAAAGCTCCTGAAAGCAAAGAAGGTGAAGGTGCTCCATGATTGGCCAGCCCAGTCACCAGACATGAACATTATTGAGCATGTCTGGGGTAAGAAGAAGAAGGAGGCATTGAAGATGAACACAAAGAGTCTTGATGAACTCTGGGAGTCCTGCAGGAACGCTTTCTTTGCCATTCCAGATGACTTTATTAATCAGTGATCTGAGTCATGTCAGAGATGTATGGATGCAGTCCTCCAAGCTCATGATGGAGTCAGACACAATATTCATTCTGTCTCCACTGCAGCATGACTTTATATTCTATACTGGACATTATTTCTGTTCAGTGTCGAGACTTTTGTCTACGCAAAGTCAGACCTTACTGTCCTAATGAAATCATTCAAAATCAAGACATGATCATATTTAATTGTGGTAAAATAACCATAATCTAGAGGCCTTTTCCTTTCATATAAGCCACTTCTGATAACAAATAATCAACTAGAAGTCGAGTTATTATTGTTTGTTTCTAAAACTTGTATTGGTGACAAGACTTTTGTCAGGTAGTGTATTTGGACATTCTTTTTATACATATTTATTGAACAGTGCACAACAGAAATTCCTTAAATATTGTTTAATAACAGCCAAAAATCTGTTATTGTACTTGAAAAATGTTAATCCCCCAACTGCTAAATTATGGCTTGAAGAATTGATATTTACTCTGCATGTGGAAGGAACCAGATATCTTTTAAAAGGCAACACTGGACAATTTCACAAGATCTGGCGCCCTTCGTCTGTCACCTCATGGGAAATTCTTTTCCCCAAAGCAATGTATTACAACTAAAAGGTTGTTTAGATTATCACTGTATTGTATACTTAACAGGCTGGGGTTGGGGTGTTTGTTTTTGTTTTGTTTTTTCTTGTTTGTTTTTGTAAGTTTATGCATATCAGAAAATCAATCCTTGACCTTGTGATTATTGTAAGTCTATTCAATAACCAAATAAAACTTATCTGACAAAAAAAAAAAAAAAAAAAAAACATTTTAAGGTCAATATTATTAGCCCCCTTAAGCAATATTTTTTTTGATTGTCTTCAGAAAAATCCACTCCTATACAATGACTTGCCTAATTACCCACACTTTACCCTAATTACCCTAGTTAAGTCTTTAAATGTCACTTTAAGCTGAATACTAGTATCTTGAAAAGCATCTAGTCAAATATTAAGTGCTGTCATCATGGCAGAGATAAAAGAAATCAGAAATGAGTTATGTTTAGAAATGTGCTGAAAAAATCAGTTTTCCGTTAAAAGAATTGGGGCAGTAAATAAGCAGGAGAGCTAATAATTCTGACTTTAGCTGTATTTAGTGAAAAGTGTGAGGTTTGGCTCTGTTTTATATTTATCCATGTAAAATAACGTTACTCTTGGTATTTGAATGCAACATTATTATCATCACTTGCATTTCTTGCGTTCCTCCTCATTATTTTCTCTTTTGGAGCTTTTGCATTGCCTTGACTGGCTTTGGTTTGGTTTTCCACTACAGCTTAGCCCTGCTTAAAGAGAAAGTTCACACAAGTGAAAATTACCTCATCATGTACTCTGTCATCATGGGGCTTTAATCCTTTATGAATTTTTGTTAAACACAAAAGAAGATATTTAAAAAAAAAAATACTTGTTGCTGGCACCAGTTAACCTCCATAGTTGGGGGAAAAATGACTATGGAAGTCAGTGGGTGAACGCTATGTTGTGTGTTGCATTAGACTGCACAGTGCAGCATTATAACAGAAACTTAAAATCCATTTATAAAACAAGCTGCTTTTTCTTTTAATGATCATGAGCAGAAGGTTGTGGAGAAGGATGTAATGAGCTCTAATGATTCCATACGCCGTCATCAAAATAAGCCTTTGTTTGTTGTAAATATTTGCCCTCTAGTGGTGAAAATGACCTACTGTGCCTTTAAGAGGATTGTAGACGTTGTTATATTCATTAATTCGTTCATTCATTAATTTTCCTTTGGCTTACTCCCTTATTTATCAGAGGTTGCCACAGTGGAATGAACCACCAACTATTTCAGCATATGTTTTATGCAGCGGATGCCCTTCCAGCCGCAACCCAAACCCATACACTCTCACACACACTAAGACCAAATTTGTTTTACCCAATTCGCCTGTAGTGCATGTGTTTGGTCTGCGGTGGAAATCGGAGCACCTGGAGGAAACCCACGCAAACACGGGGAGGATATGCAAACTCCACACAGAAATGCTAACTGGCCCAGCTGGGACTCGAACCAGCGACCTTCTTGCTGTGAGGCTACAGTGCTAACCACTGAGCCACCCCTTATTCAGTTCACTTTGAATTTGTGTATTGTTCATAATGATTATTGTTTTCAAAGCAGCTTTACATTGTTATGTTTACTATAGTTTATATGTATGTTACTCCCATAATTCCCATAAAGCATCAGGGGACATGAGGGAAAAGGTGGACAAGGTTAAAGAGGGTTTTCCTTCAAGATTTAGCTCATATTGGTGTGTTATTTTCTTCAGGTTGGACGCCTCTCCATGAAGCCTGCAACCTTGGTTACTATGATGTAGCCAAGGTTTTGATTGGTGCAGGAGCGGAAGTGAACACGCAGGGATTGGACGATGACACGCCGCTTCATGACGCCTCAAGCAGTGGACACAAAGACGTGGGTTTTCACACACGCGCTGACACACTGAGTATCGTACTGGCACTCTGAATAACTTGTGTACGTTGTCTTATTTTTTTGGTGTATTTTCTAGATTGTGAAGCTGCTCTTGCGTCATGGAGGCAATGCTTTCCAAGCCAACAAGAGAGGGGAGAGACCGGTTGATGTTGCTGACTCTCAGGAGCTGGAGCAGCTACTCAAGGGAGAAATCCCACTGTCAGAACCAGAAGACAGCTCTTCAGGTATATCCAGAGCTCTGAATATGTTGTACATTGCTAATGAACACTTTTCACAAGTCTGTTATGATGCGTTTTAGGGTCATCAGCATATTAAATCCTTAAAAGTGTTTACCATTTAGATTTTTAATGAAACCTTTGAGCATTTATATGTATTTAGGTATGTATGATATCATCTTTGCATGAAATGCAACAAAACGAAGTACCGCTTGTGCGAGGTGTTTCCAATGCAGCGTCTATGTAAATCTGACATTATTCTCTCTTCCGGCTGCCGTTATCAGTCTCGCACATTTTACTTATTTTTCTGAAAGTCTTCATAACACCATAGTGGAGTTTTTATTTTATTATTTCAGTAAATAGGATTGTAAAAAAATGATTTGTTGTATTCTCCCATTCACTCTGAGTTTACCTGACTATGGTTGAACCCAGAAGTGGTAAAAGGGTCCATTAAACACAAGCTCTGCAAATATTTTTGGCATGCTGATCAATTTCAGATGCAGATTTAAAGACAAGCCTCAAATCTTCATTCTGTTTATATTTTTCTATGTGCTGTAGGTTAGTTTTAATAGCCATATTGCAGGTATCATTATATATCCACCTAATTTGTCATGTAAAAGAGCAGCGTTTCTTTTGTCAATGAAAAGAAGGACAAAGTGTTATTTGCTTTTCATTTATTTCTAACAGAAAGAGTGCCTTGCAGCGGTTTGCTGGATTATAACCAAATTAATGTTGATTAGTTTTTATCTTTTTGTTTTTATCTCTCTTTAAAACAAGTCACGTGTGAGTAAACTCTCCTCACATTGGTCAGTTTCAGGGTTTATTTTGCAGAGTCCTGCTCAGCTGTCATGCGTCCTTATTTTAATTTATGACTATGAGCAATAAGACATTATAAGAAAAAATCTGCGCTTTAATTTTGAATGGTGACACCCTCAGACGTCGTCACTATATATAGAGCAAAGGTAAGACTTTCTCATACATAGCAGTTGGCTTATGCATTATAGGCATTACATTATAGAGAGAAATAACAGATTAACTAATGCAGTTCGGTCAATTTTCCTAACGAATACACTGCTCTTGTTAATAGTTCAGCATGCTTTTACTTTCGAATTTTACACGAAACCCACAATTACCGGTAGGAATGACATTCTGCCCCACCCATAATTCATAATTAAAACACTATGACATAGCCGGGCTCGGATCGTATCGATTTCTCACGACAATCGATCCACTCCAGAGTTCGTTTTAATTGAGCCGAGACCACCTCATTCGGGCGATCTTGGAGCGATTGTTTTGGCGCGGGTCCTAATGCAGCGTCTATGTAAATCTGACATTATTCTCTCTTCCGGCTGCCGTTATCAGTCTCGCACATTTTACTTATTTTTCAGAAAGTGTTCATAACACCATCGTGGAGTTTTTATTTTGATTATTTCAGTAAATAGGATTGTAAAAAAATGATTTGTTGTATTCTCCCATTCACTACACTCGATTTTTCATGACAATCGATCCACTCCAGAGTTCGTTTCAATTGAGCCGAGACCACCTCATTCAGGCGATCTTGGAGCGGTTGTTTTGGCGCGGGTCCGAGTGCGATTGCTGGATTCACATATGCCAAAAGAACCGCGCTAACTGGGCAAATGAGATCGGTTCAGAAACAAAGGTCTAGGTGTAAAAGCACCCAGTACTCTTCCACCTATTTTTGTTGATTTTGTTAAAATTAATACTGTAAAAGAGGGTACAACCATCTTTATGTTACTTAATAGTGCACACTTGTAATTCTTGCCATATTAATGCATTATCTTAATTATTACCAGGCTGATTTGTTGTGCAAACACTTTCTTCTTCTGTTTATTTACTTATTGCAGCTAATAAATAGAGTCTTGCATGTTCACAGAAAACAATTTAGTTCCATATAAAAAATAAGGTGCTTACATGTTTTCATATATATTTTTGACTATAAATTTTTTTTATGACAATCACTTGTATATAATATAACAAAAAATAATTATTGTGTTTGATATGTGTTGTATAATCTGCCTTGCAGGATTGAAGCAATAGGTCATCCAAACATTTTATTTTACTAACCATTTTTTTTACTGCCTAACACAAAAGAAGATATTTTGGAAAATCTTGGACCCCAGTAACTTGACATCCATAATAGGAAAAAAAAAAACAAATGAAGTCAATGGCTACTGGTTTTCAGCTTTATTTAAAATATCATGTTTTCTGTTTATCATCATATTCATAATAGGGCCACAGCCATATCACCCTGCAGCCCAAGACCGGTTACTCACTGAAGCTAAGCAGGGCTGAGTCTGGTCAGTACCTAGATGGGAGACCACATGAAAAAAACTAGGTTGCTGTTGCAAGTGGTGTTAGTGGGGCCAGCAACTTGCAGTCTGTATGGGTCCTAATGCCCCAGTAAAGTGAAGGGGACACTATACAGTCAGTGAGCGCCATCTTTCAAATGAGATGATAAACCGAGCTCTCTGTGGTTACTAAAAATCTCATGGCACTTGAGTAGGGGTGTAATCCTGGTGTCGTGGCCAAATTCCCTCCATCGGCCCTTACCCACCATGGCCTCCCAATCATCCCCATCCACTGAATTGGCTTTATCACTGTCTTCACTCCACCAAAGACTGGTGTGTGGTGAACACACTGGTGCTGTTGTCCTGTGGCTTCTGTTGCATCGTCCAAGTGGATGATGCACACTGGTAGTGGTGTGGAGAGACACCCCTCATAATTGTGAAGCGCTTTGGGTGTATGGCCATACACAATAAATGCACTATATAAATACACACTACATTACATAAAGCTCAAACAATGTTAGAACAAAAAAAGGGTCCATAAATCCTTTTTTGGGTGAACTATCCCTGTAATGAGTATTTTAATAATTCCCTTTTCATATTTTTTATGTTACAGAATCAGAGGACCCATCTTCAGTGAATCCATCCAGTGTAGACGAGAACCTGGAGTTTTCTGATGCTGAAAAAGACTCTGACTGTAAATCGACAACTGTCAAAGCCTCATCGTCCATGTCAGGGCTGGATGAATATGAGTTTAAAGATGAGGAAGAGGAAGAGGACCTCAGTAAGTCACTTAATGAGCGACACCTCTTTAGGCGAGAGCTACGGCAAAAGGAGAAGGAGGAAAAGGACAGAAACCACTATGCTTCAAAACAAGGTAGCAAAAGCGACCAGTCCATGCTGGCTTGCAAGTCTAAAAAAACAAAGGCGTCCCGTGTCTACTGCAGTTCAGACAGTTCAAGCGATGAAGCAGAGGTGCAGACGGAAAGAAGGAGCTCACCTACTAGGTCAGTCAGTGTGGATGGACATAAAACGGACAGTAGATCGAAAAAAGAAAGCTTGACTCTAACGCCAGTGGAGCAGAAAGAAAAAGGTAAACAGAAGAAAAAGAACAAGAGCCAAAGCAAAAACAAAGAAAACCAGGAAGTCAGAGAAGAAGGGAAAGAGAACAGCAAATCCCTTCTGTTTTCCTCTCCGACTGTGTCCGATAATTCTGACAAGGGCGTCAGAGAAGAGGACTCTTTCAAAATGTCATTCAGTGCAAAGGATGACACATCGGTTCACCTATTTCACCTGTCTGTAGTCAAATCCCCAAAGCTGAACCACAGCCAAACTGACAAGCAGGCAACCCCGCTGAAACAGGAAAACGCTAAGACATGTGTTTCAATCGCTGATGGATCTTGCCCTGGGGACGGCATCAAATATAACCACTACACAGACTCTGACTATTGCACAGAAGATTCTAGCAGTAAAAGCTGCAAACATAAGGAAAAGAGCAAGCACCATCACAAGGAGCCTAACTTGGAAGGAGATGACGGCAGTTCGAGTCCTTTCAAAGACAGCAGTTTAAGCAACAGTATAGACAGCTCTGAGGGTGCGTTTAGGAAGACTGACAAAGATGGGAAAGTTGTAAAAAAGCACAAGCTAAAACACAAGGAGAAGGAAAAGGAGAAATATAGGAAAGAGTACGAGGCAGAGAGGAATCGCCACCGGCAGAAAGAGCCACGCAAGGACGGACATAGAAACCTCGAGTTTGATCGAGAGTTCTGGAAGGAGAACTTCTTCAAAAGTGATGAAAATGAGGAACCTGTGGGCAAAGGTGAGATACCTGCTGGTGGATCTCCAGTAAAATCCTCAGATTCGTCACCTGTTAAAGAGGAAAAAGGGGCATCAAAAGACAAACATTCAACTAGTAGCAGTAACAAGGACAGGAGGCCAAAAGAGGAAAGAGATAAAACCATTAAAAAGGAGAAAAAAGAGATTCCTCTTAAAGAGGAGCGAGGAAAAGAAGATGAAACAGATGAGCGGACTGATGGTACTTTCTCTGTACGAATTCCTGATGGCTCACAACACTTGTCAGAAGAAGTGGATGAGAAACCAGCAACTTGTAATTCGGCTGACCAAGAGCAACTGGAGTCTCCAGAGAAGAACTCTCGAGAAAAAACTGATAAGCGACCACCAACAAAGGATCGGGAATCTGAGAAGTCTGATAAGAGACACTCGGATAAAGATAAGAAGGTAAAATCTGAGCATTTAGCTGACAAGCCTGAGCTCCACAACTCTACAGATCGATGGAAGGAAAAGGAGAAATTAACAAATGTTTCATATTCGCCCAATGATAAGAGCCATAAAGAGGGTGAAAAACTCAAACCAATGACTCCAGTGAAAAAGCATGAGGAGAACAAGAAGAATAAGGACAAGCTTGATAAAAAAGCGGAGAAAGAGCACGCTTCTGGTGACCACAGAGACAAAGATAAAACAACTTCTGAAAAGAAAGGAAAAGCTCCTGAGAAAACTGCTGATCATGGAAAATCTGACCGCAGTAAAGACAAAGAACGGGACAAAGATTCTGACAAGAGGAAAAAAGATAAATCAACCACTCCATCTTCCTCTTCCTACTCGAATCTAAAGTCGTTATTGGAAGAAAAGAAAGGCTATGTTTGTGAGAATAATAAGGTTGTCTCATCTAAATCAAAGGAAGAGGTAACCAAGCCTTCAGAGAAAGACCGAGATCGAAGAGAGAGGGACCGGGAGTCTGAAAGACATCGAGATCGGGAACGAGATCGGCACAAGGAAAAGGACAAAGATCGATCCCAGTTTAACAGGGATGGCAAAATTAACAAACCGAAACCAAGTGAAGTGGACTCCAAATCTAAGGTTACACCTATTCTAAAGGATACTCGTCCCAAAGAAAAGAGGCTGGTGAATGATGACCTCATGAAGACCAGCTTTGAACGCATGCTCAGTCTCAAAGATCAGGAAATCGAACAGTGGCACAAAAAGCACTTGGAGAAAATCAAGCAGAAGGAACGGGAGCGGCTAAAACAGCGTCCTGGAATTGACCCTGCGAAACAACAAAAAAACAAGGAAAAAATTAAATCATCCTCTACGTCCACTGAGCCATGTCTAACCAAGGAACTAACTCGGTCAAAGAGCTCAGAAGCGCCAGATGGACAACGTGAAAAGATCTTAAAGGACGCCACTAGTGTGAGAACTCTCTCGCTAGATGCAAAAACCTTGGGGAAGAACGGTCCTATAATTGAAAACAATCTAAGTCGATCTCCGAGACCAGAAAGTGAAAAATCTGGTCTTATGTCAAGATCAATATCAATGATCTCTGTGGCAAGTTCAGAAGACTCCTGCCAGGCAACTATTTTGACACCTAGACCAACTGACCAATATGATTCTGACATGAACGTGGAAGCCTTAGATTCGCAGCCACCTTTACTTCAGTCTTCCCTTGTTGCACAGTCCTCCAGGTCGCCTAGTGTTCATGATAAAGATATTAGCAGTCTTCCCGAATCATCGGCTCTCTGCAATCGCACACCATTGGCAAGCAGGCATGCATCACCATGCTTAAGGGCTATTCTGGATGAAGAAGCCAAGGTACCAACAACTGAAACAAAACCCACAGAAGAGTCTCCGGTAATCAGTATTGCATCACAACCAACCAGCGAGCAATCTCAAGTTCATCTAACTGAGATTAGTGTCCCCCCTGTTCAGGAGACTCGGAGCAGTCAAAGTCTTACAAACTCTTTTCCAGAAAATGAAATTCTGTCTAGTAATGAAGCCGAAGTCGTCAGTTCCACATGTCAAGTACAACCTTCGCAGGCTAGTGCTAAAGACAGTGTAACACAAGCAAACAGTGTGTTTCCGAGCCATTTGGAAGAGCAGAACAAGTTTTGCACCACTAGTAGTCAAATAGAGCATGCAAGTCTAGGTCAGCTTGATGTCCCTGGTGCAGAGGGAGTAAAAAAGGAGGCTTCACTTGCTGTTGCATCATTACAGTCATCTCATACATCAACTTCATCATCAGATTCCAATGCACATTTGCCTTCGAGTAGTCAGCATTGTGAGATTAGCTCTGCTTCCAGTGGTGAACAGACAATGACAACAGACTCTAGTTTGAGAACAGAGCAAAGAGACAAACCATTGGTTGCTTCAGAGGACAAGATTGGGGAACATGTCACTAAAACTGATTGCGCGAGCACTCCAAGTCCATCTACAGCATCCTGTAGATCCAGCTCTGAGGAATCTACTAAACCACTGCTGAAGGCGACCAGTGTTCAGGAAGATACTGAAAAGGGCAATGAACAAGTGCAAGAAGAAAGTATCTCAAGGTTCTCCAATGACCCATTGGTTGCAGTTGATGCTCAACCAGAGAAAGAAGAGCAAGGCCTACATTTGGCTTCGGTGACAAATGTTTCTTGCTGTGCCAGTCCAGAAAGAATCCCAGAGGAGCCCATGGAGGTTCCAGAGGAAGTTTCGGATAAGAGCCGAATCACAGAAATTGATGAGGCCAAAGTCTTGTCTTCAGAAGAAGGTGCAGTGACTTCATCTGAAAGTAAGGCTGACTCAGAAACGCCAGACCCGTTTTCTCTTGACGAGAAGCCTTTGAAATCGGACATTCTGGCTAATGTAGAACAGGCTCAAAGCAGTGCTCCCATCCACCCTGATCATCAGGCAGAGCCAACCAGTGGAGAGACCTCTGGAAGTTCCTCTCCGATATCAGTCATGGACAGAGATTCAGATATATCTGGGGCCAGAGCCAAAGTCAGACTCCTTGAAGAAGAAGCTGACATTCAAGCGACCCATCCAAGAAAACGAAAAATGCCTAGAGCTTCTCCGCTAGCCCAAGCAAATCTTACAGCTCAGCAGGTCAGAGAAAAGACACAGCAGTCCCTCGCTGCGATTGTAGATGCACTGAAGCTTGAGGAGATTCAGCCTTACCAGACAGAGAGAGCCAACCCATATTATGAGTACTTGCACATTCGCAAAAAGATCGAAGAGAAGAGGAAAGTCCTTTGTAGTGTCATTCCTCAAGCGCCTCAGTACTACGACGAGTATGTGACATTCAATGGGTCCTATCTGCTGGATGGAAACCCTCTCAGCAAACTCTGCATCCCAACAGTAAGTGATCTCCACTAACAGTATGTGAAAGTAATATTTACTCAAGAAAGACTAAGGCAAAAATGTCTCACTGTTCTTCCGTTTTGTAGATAACGCCTCCACCCTCTTTACCTGAACCACTGAAGGAGATGTTCAAACAGCAAGAGATGGTGCGGATGAAGCTGAGACTGCAGCACAGCATCGAAAGGGTGAGTGGAAATCAAGAATGGGTGACGTTTCTTTTTTGCAATTCAGTTTTTATTTTATTTTTCAAAAATAATATATAAAGTTTTACAATAACCAGAAGGATTGTTACCACTCTATATATTTTACAAACCCAGTACACATCAGGAATTACAACATAAATATAATATAGGCCAAGTAGTTCACTAACATTGACTCAATTGACATTCCTAATATTAGATAAGGGCAAGGCAGTGGCGCAGTAGGTAGTGCTGTCGCCTCACTGCAAGAAGGTCGCTGGTTCGAACCTCGGCTCCTTTGCATGGGTTTCCTCAGGGTGCTCCGGTTTCCCCCACAGTCCAAAGACATGCGGTACAGGTAAATTGGGTAGGCTAAATTGACCGTAGTGTATGAGTGGGTGTGTGAACGTGTGTGTGGATGTTTCCCAGAGATGGGTTGCGGCTGGAAGGGTATCCGCTGCGTAAAAACTTGCTGGATAAGTTGGCGGTTCATTCCGCTGTGGCAACCCCGGATTAAAAAAGGGACTAAGCCAACAAGAAAATGAATGAATATTAGATGAAGAAAAGGTTTTCCCGAATTGAGTTTTGCAGCCTCCTAGTGGTATGTAATGAAACTGCAGCAGATTTGTAAAATCTCTAAATCATAAAGCAACATTACAAAAATATTAAATTGTAATTTTTTGCCAATATAAACATTATTTCCAAAAAAGTTCAATATAAAACTTAATGTTGATAATGTAAAAAAAACATTATATAGGTTTAAATTAGGCTGAACAGTGTATTGTTTGAGCATTGATATCGTAATGTGTGTATCTGCAGTAGTCATGTCAGATTTACTAAAGGTTAAAGATAAAGATATTTATACTTATTTTATTATTTGATTTTATTATTTATACAATGATGACCAAATTGTGTACTTTATTATTGTTAGACTCCCTAAAAAACCATAAAGCACTGTTTATTTATCTATTGTGCTTGTAATTTATAAATTATGCAAAGTATTGCATCGGAAAAGACTGACTGATCATTTCAGTCGATCTAATTTAACCAAATCTTTCCAAGTAGAGCTATTCAAATCAAGTGGTGAAATTATATTCATATTCCAATATACACTCACCGGCCACTTTATTAGGTACACCTTACTAGTGTCATGTTGGACCCCCTTTTGCCTTCAAAACTGCCTTAATCGTTCATGGCGTAGATTCAACAAGGTACTGGAAATATTCCTGAGAGATTTTGCTCCATATTGACATGATAGCATCACGCAGTTGTTGCAGATTTGTCGGCTGCACATCCAGGATGCAAATCTCCCGTTCCACCACATTCCAAAGTTGTTCTATTGGATTGAGCTCTGGTGACTGTGGAGGCCATTTGAGAACAGTGAATCATTTTCATGTTCAAGAAACCAGTCTGAGATGATTCACACTTAAAGACATGGCGCATTATCCTGCTGGAAGTAGCCATCAGAAGATGTGTACACTGGGATCAACAACAATACTCAGGTAGGCTGTGGCGTTGACACGATGCTCAATTGGTACTAATGGACCACAAGTGTGCCAACAAAATATCCCCCACACCAATACACCACCACCAGTCAGCCTGAACTGTTGATACAAGGCAGGATGGATCCATGCTTTCATGTTGTTGAAGCCGAATTCTGACCCTACTATCTAAATGTTGTAATCATTTTTCCAATCTTCTATGGTCGAGTTTTGGTGAGCCTGTGTGAATTGTAGCCTCAGCTTCCTGTTCTTAACTGACAGAAGTGGCACCCTGTGGTCTTCTGCTGCTGTAGCCCATCCGCCTCAAGGATGGACGTGTTGTGTGTTTAGAGATGCTCTTCTGCAAACATCGGTAGTAATGAGTTGCCTATTTGAGTTACTGTTGCCTTTCTGATATGTGCTGATATGCGATTGGCTGATTAGAAATTTGCGTTAATGAGCAGTTGGGCAGGTATACCTAATAAATTGGCCGATGAGTGTATAAAGCAGCAAAATATCAAAATGTCAGATCTTTCCAGTATCGTGCGGCCCTAGTTTCAAATATACCAGATAATTCTCAATTCCCTTCTTAATTCAGGGCTGGTAATTCTACATATTTTACAGATGCATTTGCTACAAAAAATATTTTAAAATAAAAGTGTCAACCTTTTGACCCTGTTGAATTATATTCATGTTTAAAAGTATTTCAGTTAATTATTAAAACAACGCAACAATTTGCTCTTACAGGAAAAACTGATTGTATCCAATGAGCAGGAGGTTTTGAGAGTTCATTACCGCGCTGCGAGAACACTAGCCAATCAGACGCTTCCGTTCAGTGCCTGCACAGTCCTATTGGATGCCGAAGTATACAACATGCCCCAAGAAGTCCAGGTAAGCGATCACATTATTAGACATTAGTTTTAAATTGAAGTAAGAAATATATTTCAACTCAAGTAAACACTACAGCTGGAGGTAAGACTGCAATTCAGTGAAATGTTGAATGAAGTAAAAATCCAAACAGCGTAATTTTAGTTCCAAGTTTCACTCAGAAGTTGTAAGTAAATTAAACTAAAATCAAATAAATAAATGATATTGAATTGGACATTTTTTGGTTTTATTGTCAAACTTGGGTACCTAGGTTCCTTAGAACAAGATTACAAAAATGTGTTTTCCAGAATCTGACCCAAATCTAATAAAATAAAGCAGAACTTGCTTTTTTAAACTGTAGAAAGTCTTGTTCTGTACAGGTTAACCTTATTAAAGTGGGCGAAATAAACATTGAACACAAGTTTTTCTGGGAATAATATTTCTTTAGCTGCTGTTGACATGGGATTGAAGCAGATTTAGGTGAAAACCCAAACAACACGAACACAAAAACAAAACAAAAGAATCTGAAAAATGAGGTATGTGTAATAATGAAATGACAGAAGGAGAAAGTGCTGAACTGCTTAAACGCATTTAACACTTTATATAAAAGGCTTTTTTAATGATCGCAGCCTAAAGACGCCTCTCATATGGGGAATGAAGTCACATGCATTGCTCAGGTGTGAGCTTTTTATAAACTTTAAAAGAGTGTCAAAATCTTGATGTTTAATGGGTCTCGTCTATCAAATCTGAGCTTTATTTTATATTTTCTATTAGATTCAGACCAGGGGCCTCATGTATCAACGCTGCGTACGCACAAAAACTTTGCGTACGCCAGGTTTCACGCTCAGAATCGCTCACGTTTGGATTTACTAACAATGAACTGAACGTGGGAATGTGCGCAGCTTCACGGCAGCTTTCTAGCAGGCTTTTAGTGCGTGTCTGTTTTATTATTATTGGCGACTCCTAGAGGCAGTTGTGTTAAATTCCTCTCTACAAAGTGTCTGAGCCTTGCAATGGCAGCTGTATGAGACGGGTTCAGCAGGTATATAAGGTTTCCATACCATACATTTGACCAGCTAAACATTAAAGCACAATTTGCAGCAGTCGCCTGTTTTCCCAATGTAATCTGAGCTCTCTACTGCTCGCACATTGCTATAAAGACACTATCTGAAGATGAATTTGCATGCGTGAATCAGAAACATTTCCATTCAATAAATGTGCAAATAAAATATGATGCTTATTGATATGAACTTATTGATGATTCCTACTTGTCTTTCTCGTGATAAATAGTTGGCAAAATCTGATATGTAGCGGGGGAAAAAACAAGAAAGAATTCATCAGACGTTGGATTCGAGCCGAGTTCATGCTCGAACATATCAATTCATGATCACAAGCGTCTTACGAGTAACGCCACTGAGACTGTTGAGCGTCCTGCAACATTTTACAGATATAAACCAGACTATTTTTTTTTTTTAATGCACTCAGTGCAATGTTCAGACCCAACTGTGTTGACCGTACCAGCTAAACTCTCCCACTCTATTTTTTTCTTTTGTTGTTAATTCCGAACAAACTTGCAAATAACACCGCTTTTCTCCGGTCTACCTCCGAAAGCAGCACCTCCAATTCACATTCTGTTCAAAGTTTCTCTTCTTGCTTGCTTTTGCCATTGCTTTTTCGTTGGGTTTTGCCATTAGCATAGTCATTAGCATATTCATACGGGGGAGGAGGCAGGGAGGGGTTTTGTGCTCGTGCATGTTGCGCTCAGTTTCACGTTTATTCGGATGTACAAAAGAATATGCGTGAGATTCGGCGTACGCAGTGTTTCATACATCTGAAATTTTTTCTGCGTACGCACATTTACAGCTTTGGCGTACGCAATGTTTTAGTAAGATTTCCACGCAAGTCTTCGTACATGAGGCCCCAGGTGATTGGCTGGGCCATTCCACAGCTTGATTTTCTTTCTCTGAAAGCAACAGAGTTTTCTTGGCTGTGTTTTGGATCATTGTCTTGCTGAAATGTCCACCCTGGTTTCATCTTCATCCTCCTGCTAATGTAGATGTTGGACTGAAGCAGCTGATATTCATTTACACTGAGAAAGAGCAGAGGGTTGCTGAAGAACTACTGAGAGATTTCAGCTGCTGTCTGGGCTTTCCATGTCTTTCTACACCTCCCTTTCTTCATGTGTTCAATACTTTTTCCCTGCATCATTTCATTTTATTATGCATAACTTCATTTGTAAACTAATTAGATTAGTTTTCTTTACATATATAAATTGTCTTGGTTGTTACCAACATCCGAGGAAACATCCGAGGAAAATTCAAGCCAACAACAACTTTAGAAATATGTTTTCTGAGAAAAATGATAACATGTTCAATACTTGTTTTCCCTGCTGTATCTCTGTTTTCTTCATTTCATCTTTTTTTTTTCAGGGTGATGATGGGAAGACTTCTGTTCGAGATCGATTCAATGCGAGGCAGTTCATGTCTTGGCTTCAGGATGTAGACGACAAGTTTGACAAGTTGAAGGTACAAAAGAAAACAGAAATATGACATGAAATGGACACAAACAAAACAACCAGCATCTGTTAAAAAATAGTTTAGAGCTGAGATGCCTAAATTACGGCTTGCAGGCCTATGGTAACCTTTGATTTGGCTCGCCATTCCGTCTGTGAGGAGAGGGAGAATGATGGCGCTGTTTAGAAATTGTCTTTTCAAATCTAAAGTAATCTTTTAGGGCAGGAAGGTGGTGCAGTGGGTAGCACAAACGTCTTACAGCAAAAAGGTCGCTGGTTTGAGCCCTAGCTGGGTCAGTTGGCATTTCTGTGTGGAGTTTGCATGTTCTGCCCGTGTTGGCGTGGGTTTCCTCCAGGTGCTCCGGTTTCCCCCACAAGTTTAAACGCATGCGCTTTAGGGGAATTGGGTTGGCTAAATTGTCCATAGTGTATGTGTGTGAATGAGAGTGTATGGGTGTTTCCCAGTAATGAAGAAAATGAATGTAATCTGTTGTTTGTTTGTTTTATTGTTAAAAGCTCATTTAAATTATATTTTACAATTAAATATTGTAAATGAATCAGATTTAGTTTAAATGTACACACCTGATGGATAGAGGACAATGCAGAGACTGGTGAGCAAATCAAGGCAAAGGCAGATTCTACTTGACTAGTCTATTCAGCATTTCACTCCACTGTTCTCGACTGGGCCAGTTGGCATTTCTGTGTGGAGTTTGCATGTTCTCCCTGTGTTGGCTGTGGGTTTCCCCCACAGTCCAAAGACATGCACTACAGGTGAATTGAATAAACTAAATTGTCTGTAGTCTATGTGTGTATGGGTGTTTCCCAGTGATGGGTTGCAGCTGGAAGGGCATCCGCTGCGTAAAACATATGCTGGATAAGTTGGCGGTTCATTCCGCTGTGGTGACCCCAGAATAATAAAGGGACTAAGCCGAAAAGAAGATGAAATAATGAGTATTATGAAATCAATTAGGAAATTGGCAACAGCATCTTTATTGTGATATAGTTTGGAATATTTACCCTCGGCCCACAGCTCATATGATATTTGTTTTTTGGCCCTTTATTCGAAAACGTTTTGGAACCCCTGATTTAAAGTTTAAAGACTTTAGATTTATAGCATCAGAGGATGAAAACAAACGTCAGGCTAGCAGTTTTGTGAGCCCTTTGGATATTTACGAAACAGTTATGATGTAAATCATATATTTATTACCAATACAGACAATTCTGCTGATATGGAATAAATAAATCCCTTTAAGGGTGCTTTCACACCTGTGAATCGATCCATTTGTTCCGAAACAGGGATTAGAATTGTTACATTGTTGCTCTTTGCTCTTGGTGCGGTTTGCTCTCCTGCGGCAAAGCTTCTAATGGGACCAAAAGAGCTAAATCAAGTCACGTGTGAGTAAACTCTCCTCACATTGGTCAAAGTTTCACGGTTTATTTCGCAGAGTCCCGCTCAGCTGTCGGGGTGGTGGTTTGGTGGTGTTTGAAAAGGTGCACGCGACGTGTTTGAAGAGCGAGGAGAGATGCGGTGGGGAGGGGTAAGAAGGGTGCGCAACTTATTTGAAGACTGGGAGGGAGACACGCGATTACCAGGAGATGATCACTCGTTTGTTGGCAGTCCCTGTGCATTTGCGGGAGACTGACGAAACGTCCTGGAGTCTTGGGATGTCTAAAATGACCTCCTGCCCTACTCATAATTCTCTCTTTATATAGCCTTATGCCTATTACATATCCATAATGCACTGTGATATAGCCAGGCTCGGATCGCATCGCTTTCTCAATACAATCGATTCGCTTTAGAGTTTGTTTCAATTGAGCCTCATTCAGGAAATCTCGGAGCGATTGTTTTGGCGTGGATCCAAGCGCGATTGCTGGACTCACATATGCCAAACGAACTGAAACAAAGGTCTAGGTGTGACATTGTTTGAATAACTCATTTCTAATAACTGATTTATTTTATCTTTGTCATGATGACAGCGCAAAATATTTGACTAGATGTTTTTCAAGACACTAGTATTCAGCTTAAAGTGACATTTAAAGGCTTAACTAGGTGAATAAGGGTAAAGTCTTGGTAATTAGGAAAGTCATTATATAACAGTGGTTTGTTCTGTAGACAATCAAAAACAAATATTGCTTAAGGAGGCTAATAATATTGACCTTAAATTGGGTTTTAAAAAATTTAAAACAGCTTTAGTTCTAGCCAAAATAAAACAAATCAGACTTTCTCCAGCAGAAAAAATATTATAGGAAATACTGTGAACAATTCCTTGCTCTGTTAAACATCTTTTGGGAAATAGCTGAAAGAATTCCTGAATCATTTTGACTGACCTAAACCTCCATCTTCCTGCAGACGTGTCTCCTGATGCGGCAGCAGCATGAAGCGGCAGCGTTAAACGCAGTCCAGCGTCTGGAGTGGCAGCTAAAGCTACAGGAACTGGATCCCGCCACTTACAAGTCCACCAGCATTTTCGAGATTCCCGAATTCTACATCCCGCTCGTGGAGGTCAACGACGACTTCGACCTGACGCCGATATGACCTGCTGAAGAGGCGAACGCATTTTCAAAGCTATCGGACCACGTCAAGAGATGAGTGTAGGGTGAAACACGAAGCACTTGATTTTGGGGGTGTGCGTGCGCATGTATGTTGTTTGTGTGTGTGTGTGTGTGTGTGTGTGTGTGTGTGTGTGTGTGTGTGTGTGTCACAGATGCTCCAGATTTATAATAAAATAGATAAGGAAAAAAAAAAGCGCTGCACTTCCAGGCTATCGGTTCAGTCTGTGTTGGTAGTTCTGGTTCGACCACATGCACTTCACCGTATGGGCGCCAGATTGGTTCCTACAGACTGCAGGCCGAAACTAAAACGCACTTAACCCTGAGGTCCACGGGTCGAGGAAGAAAAAAAAAAAGAAAACAGCCTCCAGAGGGTAAAGACCACCATGGAGAAAGGCGAGCGATCTGAATCGGAGATGTTTCTACAGTGAGTGTTGATAGATGTGTATAGTTTGTGCTCCTCATTTTTTAACTTATTTTATACATACTGATTGTGCATTTGTAAATAGCCATGTAATTATTGTTTTTAACTTGTAAAAAACACACACAAAAAACAAGGAAAGAAAACTGAGAGGACGGAAGAGTTAAAGTAATAAATATTTTGATTGTAAACTTTGTTTCGTCTAATGTTTAATGGACCAAAGTTGTTTTTACATTGAAGTTCTCCGTCGTTGCTGTTGTTGTTGATGTTGGCTTAACTCTTTAAGCATGTGTTTTGGAAGACTTCTGTTCTGTTTTCTTCTGTTCTTCTTTCGTTCGTTTTTTTAACTCCTCTTTTATCGCCCCTTCATCAGAGCCGATGTTTTCTGACTTGTGATTTCTATAACGTGCATGCTTTCGCAGGTTCGTCCCTTTCTGAAAAGTTGTACCGTGGTGAGGTTTTACTGAAGTGGTCCTGGTTCCTTTTTCTGCCATTGTCGTGTCTGTTAGTAACATCCACTTCTCTGCGTGTCGTCTCTTGTGTCTTGCGCACATTTAAATAGAAAAAAACAGAGAAAAGAAAAGACAAAAAAAGAGGAAAAGTTTGTTGTGGTTTCTCCATAGGAAAAGCGAAGCTCTCTTACTTTTACAGTTTTAAATGTGAGATCACAACAAAAGCTATTTTTTACAACGTAATGCCTTTTGAACGATGGTTCTAAAAATATGTCTATTTTAATATTTACTTGTTACATGAGGATGTACATATTTGTAATATATAATTGAATAAATTTTATTGGTTGTGAAATCAAAATCTTTGCGTGTTTTCTCTTATTACATGATGTGTAGATTATATATGTGTAGAAATATTACAGACTTGCTGTCTTAAAAGTCATGCAAGAAGTTGATCCCCAAAAACGGATGTATAAATTCTTAAACAAATACCGTGCATCTGGAAGGTATTTACAGTGCTTCACTTTTTCTACATTTTTTATGCTACAGCCTTATTCCAAAATGGACTAAATTCATTTATTTCCTCAAAACTCTCCACACAATACCCCATAATGACAATGTAAAAAAGAGTTTTTGAAATTGTTGCAAATATATTAAAAATAAAAACCTGAAAAATCAGATGTACATCAGTGTTCTCAGCCTTTACAGCCTGCGATTACAGCCTCAAGTCTTTTTGAATATGACGCCACAAGCTTGGCACACCTGTCTTTGGGAATTTTTGCCCATTCCTCTTTGCAGTACTTCTTAAGCTCTATCAGGTTGGATGGAAAGCGATGGTATACAGCCATTTTCAGATCTCTCCAGAGATGTTAATGATAATAGGGTTTAGGTCTGGACTCTGGCTGGGCCACTCAAGGACATTCACAGAGTTGTGTTGAAGCCAGTCCATTGCTATTTTTGCGGTGTGCTTTGGGTCATTGTCCTGCTGGAAGATGAATTATAGCTCCAGTCTGAGGTCAAGAGCACTCTGAAGCAGGTTTTCATTCAGGATGTCTCTGTACATTGCTGCATTCATCTTTCCCTCTATCCTGACTAGTCTTCCAGTTCCTGCTGCTTGAAAACATCCCCACAGCATGATGCTGCCACCACCAGGCTTCACTGTAGGGATGGTATGAGCCTGGTGATGAGTACTGCCTGGTTTTCTCCAAACGTAATGCCTGGCATTCACTCCAAAGAGTTCAATTTGAGTCTCATCAGACCACAGAGTTTTGTTTCTTATGGTCAGAGTGCTTGAGATGCCTTTTGGCAATTTCCAGGTGTGGAGTGTCTTCCGTCTAGACACTCTACTATACAGGCCTGATTGGTGGATTGCTGCACAGATGGTTGTCCTTCTGTAAGGTTCTCCTCTCGCCATAGAAGAACGCTGAAGCTCAGACAGAGTGACCATCGGGTTATTGATCACCTCCCTGACTAAAGCTCTTCTCCCCCGATCACTCAGCTTAGATGGTCGGCCAGCTCTAGGAAGAGTTCTGGTGGTTCCAAACATCTTCCACTTACGGATGATGGAGGCCGCTGTGCGGAGCTTTCAGAGCAGCAGAAATGTTTCTGTAACCTTCCCGGCCTTGTGCCTCGAGACAATCCTGTCATAAAATGCCTACAGACAATTCTTTTGTCTTCATACTTGGTTTGTGCTTTGACATGCACTGACAACCCTGGGCCCTTATATAGACAGATGTATGCCTTTTCAAATCATGTCCAATCAACTGAATTGAGCACAGGTGAACTCCAATGAAGCTGCTGAAACATCTCAAGAATGATCAGTGGAAACAGAGTGTACCTGAGCTCAATTTAGAGCTTCACAGCAAAGGCTGTGAATACTGATGTACATGTGATTTATCAGGGTTTTTATTTTCTTTTAAATTCTGTATGCACTGTATTTTCAATTCATATATATTTTATATAAATCATAAAAAAATTCATAAAATTTTATTTCATTTTATCTTTATTTCCTAAAAAAATATATATATTTCATAAAAATATAAAATATAAATTTGTTAGATTGCAGCCGCTTGCTAAAATCCTTAATTCATTTGTTTCATTAATGTCCACACAGCAGCTCATTTCGACAGAAAAACAGTTGACATTTTTGCAGATTTATTAAAAAAGAAAAGCTGAAATATCACATGGTCCTCAGTATTCAGAGCCTATAATCAGTGTTTAGTAGCCCCTCTTAATCTGATACAGCCATGACTCTTTTGGGGAAAGATGCAACAAGTCTTTCAGTCCTGGATTTGGGCATCCTCTCCACTTCTGTCAGGTTGGATGGGAAAACACTTGTGGACACTGGACAGACATTTTTAGATCTCTCCAGAGATCCTCAATTGGGTTTAAGTCAGGGGTCTGGCTGGGCCATTCAACAAGAGTCAGAGTTGTTGTGAAGCCACTCCTTGTTTATTGTAGCTGAGCTAAGGCTCATTGTCTTTTAGGAAGGTAAACCTTCAGCCCAATCTGAGGTCCTGAGCACTCTGGAGAAAGTTTTCATCCAGAATATCTCTGTACTTGGCCGCATTCATCTTCACCTCGATTGCAACCAGTCGTCCTGTCCCTGCAGCTGAAAACACCCCCACAGCATGATGCCGCCACCACCATGCTTCACTGTTGGGCCTGTATTGGACAGGTGATGAGCAGTGCCTGGTTTTCTCCACACATACCGCTTAGATCAGTGTTTCTCAACCATGTATCTAAACACTGCACGTTTTGGATGTCTCCTTTGTCACACCTATTACAGGTCTGTTAGTCTGTGCTAATGAGCTGAAGATCTGAATCAGGTGTGTTTGGTTAAAGAGACATGGAAAATGTGCAGAGCTGGTGCTCCTCCAGGAACGTGGTTGAGAAAAACTGGCTTAAAATTAAGGCCAAAAATTCTCTCTCGCTCTCATCAGTCCAGAGAATCTTTTTTTTTTTTTTTTTCATCATCTTGGAGTCCTTCAGGTGTTTTTCAGCAAACTCCATGCAGGCTTTTATGTGTCGAGCCCAATGACTGTAAAAAATATGGACGACGCGACAGCCCTTTTTCCCATTAAACGCCTTGAGGGCAAAACGCCTGCTTGACGGGCACAAACTGTCGCAAAAGACTGCTGAAATTGGAGCCAGACATGCGCAGAAGGACTGTCTGATGGAGCCAGAGGAGGAGCCGCGAAAATGAGCGGAGTCGAGCTTCCAACCAAACGCTTTATGTAAAATCAACCACGCCCCCCAAACTGCTCAGCATGCGTTTGCTGTCACATCAACACAAATGGATGTAATAACGTTAACAAATATGAGGGTTTTATATATTCAATCGCGCCAGCTCCAGGCCGCAGCGCATAACCTACTCGCGGCGTCGCGGGCTGATTCCGGCTCGCATGCGACAGCGCCGGCTCGCTCGGCCGCCGCATCTGGCTCGATTGACTCGGGCTGGAATTGGGCAGTGAGTCCAGGCATCCGGAGTAGGTCCAGCAGAGGTAACATTAGTCAGTCTGAGCTCTAAGAGATAAGTCTCTGGCAGGCGAGAATCTAGCTGGAACTGTGTTTTGCTATCTGGGTGGCTAGGCGTGTATCAGCAAACTAATAAAGCCCGAAAAAAGCCCTGAACTTAGCGAATAAACAGTGTTCCACCAGGATCATGTATGTCAGAAACTGTAGTTTACTGCTGAACTCATTTTGTCATGGTAAAATAACACAGAAATCGAATAATAACATTTCAGTCTACTTCAGTCTCCTGCCGAAGCTCAGACGGTCTGCTTTGAGAACATGTCAATCACAACTGTCAATCACGATGACACGCCCAGCATTAAATTACTGCTAAAAACAAACTGTTTACAAAAATGAAGATCTGCACCTATTTCAGCACAATAACCAGTGCCTTAATCCACCAGAACCATCTTTCGGGACATTTTATTGCAAGTGTAATAATTTTTTTTATTTGGGCTCAAGTCTCCTTCATTAACACGGAGGAGGCGGGCTTTATGACTTGTACTGCAGCCAGCCCCCAGGGGGCGATCTAACAACCGAGACCCTCACTCAAACGCAGGCTTGCGGCACACTTGGTCGAGCCATAAAGCCCCCGACGGGTGGAGGGCTGCGGTGATGGTTAGTTGTCTACAACTTTCTCCCATCTCATCTTTATATAAAATATTAATCCAGTTTTAGTCATTTCCATAAATCATCTTTCATTTAATTTTTTTCAATTACATTCTTCAATGCATGCATAACGCATATCTCAGATTACAAAAAAACAGTAATTTATTAACCAGCTTAAACATTTTTTCAGTATTTATTTTATTAATGTATTTTTAAGATGTGTTAATATAGTTCAAAGCCAAATTGTGTATAGCTTTCATAACCTCAAAATGAGGAAGATTGTCCAGCAGGTGGCAGAGTGGGGAAACTAACACGAATCAACATTAAACACAAGTCAAAATAATAATTTGTCTGTTTTAAAGTCACAGTGGAAATATTTGAACTGCCCAATTTAATGCCCAAAACTGTTCATTTTTCTTTGAGTAATAAGCAAAGAATTTACCAGAGAGTTCAGATGCCAATTTAGTTCATTTTTTTCCTCAGATGTCAGTGGGGTTTCTATCCGGGCCATGCGGTCGATTTCTCTAGTTATATCGTTTCAGTCGTTTGATATGCCGTCAAATATTTCGCCAAACAGTCCTTAGGGATGCGGGGACACGCAGTCAGATATTTCGCCGAACAGATCCGCCACTTTTGGCGCTCATAAACAATCAAAGCTCTCGTGCTGCAGGAATGAGGAGGTCTGCTGAAGGCGCGCAGCTGTCGTGCTGTGAGGGGTTTGCGTCTTTAATCAACTACGGCAGTTTGCGATCACTGAACAGTAAGAATGATTAATAAATCCATATGAAACAGCCCCTAAAAGTCACGTCTCGCTTTCAGTTTCGGGCTTTGGCGTGTTTTGCGCTCACACACAAGCGCACACAAAGCCCAAGTGATCCGCGCTCAGGTCCACCTCTTCCAACCGGGCCAGGGCCGGCCAAGTGAACCGTGCTTGAGCCCGATTCAGCGCACTCACACTTCTCAAACGATCCGGGAAACGGGCCTGGGCACGGTACGGATGGCGGATAGTGTGAGTAGGCCCATAGTGGCGCCCCCAGAAAATTTTCTCCCCAGGAGGCCACACCAAATCTTGGGTTGGCACACAAAAAAGTAATGAATTCAGTGTAATATTCAATTTTTGTTTTTGGTAAATGAAAGATAGTGTTTTTTATTCATTTAATTAATTATTCTTAAAAACATTGCAATGTATTCCTTGAAATAATTTAACAAGTACATGTGCAAACCAAATAAATATTAATA